TGACTTGGTCGAGAGGAATGAAGACCCTCACTTCTGAGCTGGCTTCGGTTGGAGCGTCTCGGCTCCCTGGCTGGGGTCCGAAAGACGATGAACACGTTTGCTTGGACACATTTGCTGATATGACTAGGAGCCGACCTCAGTGGCGTTCGTGCTGTGAGTTTCTTTGTCCCATCCCATCCCTCTTAGCCTCCCCCTCTAACCACGATCTTATTATTTAGTTTTATATAATTTCGCATGGTATTTTTTGTTGTTGATGCACAGTAGCCGTTTGGTAGTTTACCGGAACGATGCCCATCCGTTACCCGTAGCTCAGCCGGGTTGCACCAGTTGCATTTTCTCTCTCATTTTTTCTCTATATTGCGGCACAGTAGTTGAGGTGTTCCCCACCTCTAGCTAACGTGTATGTGTATGTGTAGTATTGGACGCCGTGCTTACCAAGTATGCTTATTTGTCAGTGGCCCATGAAGGTTGCTATATTTGCCAGTGACTTGTAGTGAAACCGCACTTCGTTACACTTGTCATTTGGCTTACTTTTAGGCAGCTACGGGGCTGCGCTTTCTAGTCGTCTGGGTTCATATGCAAAATTAGTCTACTAAATTGATGTGGTTGCTGCATGCCATGAAGGGCTATGTATGGAGTCCGCCAAGGACTGTGTGATATTGATCAGATGTCTAACGACATGATGATCGGGGGGGAAAGTTTTCGAAAATTCGGATGATTCCGACAATGTCCGCAACAGACATCGGAATCTTATGCGGAGTGTGCAAACGTATCTGAACTATTTGTATCACCCCAACTTGGAATTACAAATTGCAAGTGGTGTTACATGTCTAGGTGACGGAAACTATTCCGAAAACAAGTGTTCCATTGTTTAACCAAGGTGCATGTGTAAGGCAGCTACTTTCACTTGTCTTCCGGAATTAATCTTATGTGGATTGTTTCAACCATGCTAAGTAATCGGGAGTATAGTGCAAGATATTGTGCAAATCAAATCATAGATGTTCACCGTGCTTATCACTTCATCCCCAAAAATCAGTGGACCATTTTAATGTCCACACGCTCTCATCTGGAGGGGAATGGACAAAACAGCTCACAACACAAACGCCATTGGGGTGGCTCCTCTTGCAACCGCGCCCTCGGCGCGCAAACAAGGCACGTCGCGGGAGTCGGTGTCATCATCATCACACGTTAGCTGGAGGTGGAAAACACCTCAGCTATTGTGCCGCAATACAAAAGACAAGAAAAGGAAAACAAACAGTAGCACGCCCGCTGAATCTCTGGTAACGGATGGGCATCGTTCCGGAGAGCTAACAACTGGCTATCGTGCTGTAAAAAAGAGTTGTATTATGTCTAACAAGTGAGATCGTGATTGGAGGGGATGCTAAGCAGGAAGGGGATGGACAAAGGAACTCACAGCACAAACGCCATTGGGGTCGGCTCCAAACCATATCAGCAAGTGTGTCCAACCAAACTTGTTCACCGTCCTTAGGACCCCAGCCAGGCAGTCGGGATGCACCAACCGACGCGAACTTCGAAGTGAGGGTTTTCATTTCTCTCGACCAAGTCACCACTTGACCTCCCCTCCTCCTCTTCCAACCGCACCCACAACGCGCAAACAATGCACGTCGCGGGAGTCGGTGTGCTGGCATGCGCAACACGTGGTCCAGCCATCGAAGCCTGGTGTATGATAGAATGGTGCTCTGCAGTTCTCTCGCTCTTCCTGCACCAAATACGCGATGGTGAACACACTCATTGCTCACACGGTGTTCCCACCAGACATGAGCTAAGCTGCGAAGGCAGCGCTGATCGAATGTGACGAGCCTCTTTATGTCTGTATCACTACCATACGAAAGAGTTGAACGGACGGCTGCATTATAAACTCTGCCATTCAGGGCGAGAGTAATGTCGCGTCTGCGCCACAGGAGGTTAAGATTGGAAAAAGCACCTCGAGCTTTTGCTATACTATTCATAACCTCATCTTAGATCCCACGGGCGTTAATCTAGGTGCCCAGGTACTTGAATTCCTGAATAACTTCTGGCTGATCATCATCAAGCGTTAGTATAGGGCTGGGTCCCTGCCAATCTTGGAGAAGTACTTTGCATTTCGATGGAGCAAAGCATAGCCTAAAACGATAGACAGCTAGTGCTAATCGGTCACAGTGCTTCTTGGCATGTTTGAGAGCTGTCACAGAGTAAGGCATTATTGCCCGCACACTCAAGTCAAGAAGCCGCTCATCAGGAAGTTGCTCCACACCTTCTAGGTCATGTCCAGCGAATACTGTTGCCATGACTTCGTCACCTACAAATTTAAATAACAAAGGTGACAACAGGCAACCTTGTTTCACACCGCTGGTGATACAGAGAAGTGGCGACAGTTTGCCATCAACCCTCACTCTGCCCTAACTATGCACGTACAGCACTTTGATAATGTTTACGTATTTACCAAGCACACCTTTCCTCAGAATTGACAGTCCCAAAGGGCACATCGATTGACTGAATCGAAGACGCCTTTTATGTCGAGAAACACGACAGCAGTGGGTCGCCAATAAACATGGCGGTACTTCACCAATTGACGCAAGCTGAAGATATGGTCGATGTAGTCTGGATTTCGTCGGAACCCGGCTTGCTCTTCACGTTTGCCAGTTAATCTGTGGAAAACGACAGACGCAAGCGATTTAGAGGCAGTTGTGATCCGACTGCTCCCACAATGATTGCCGCATTCCGAACGGGAGCCTCCCTTGAAAAGTGTGACTGTGACGGAGCGGCTCCAGTCTGTCGGGACAGTCTGCTGCTCCCAAAGTTTCACCAGCAACTCATGTAAATCATCTACTACAGCAGAGTCCCCGAATTTGAAAAGGGTTGGGGTATTCTCTCTGCACCAGTTATTTTACACAATTTTAGCAATCTGATCTCACGTTCGACTTCTGCGCGTTGGGGGGGGGTCCAAAGAGACGACCCAGGGAGAAAGGTGCTCAATGCCCGAAAAAGAAAGCGATAATTCAGCTTGGTTAAATTGCCTTGCAAAGTGTTTGTTCTGACTGTCTAAGCGTTTTGATAGGCTGTGGGTCGGCTGTCCACTCTCGTCACCTATGGTCTTGCTAACACCAGGTCTCCTGTTACTTGCTTTCCGTATCAGACGAAATAACTTACAAGGATTACCAACGGCAGCGGCTGTTTCTATCTCCAGTGCACCTTGGGACCGCAGCGTTCGCGGACTCTCTTCAGGCTAGCACGCGGTTTCGCTCTGAGATTTTTGCGAGTCTCATTGTATTCGCTTCTAGCCGGAATACGTCAGCGAGCATCTATAAGTTCCAGAGACTGTGTAGAGACCCAATGTCTAGATTGGCAATTCGATGGGCTGAGAAAATAATTCCGGAGAGGACATCAGAAGCAAAAGACGGCTAGGCGAAGAAGCTTGTTTTTGGTGGTTCGCATTAAGCCAATACACAAAAAATAAAAATAAAACGAACACAGGGTATTTAAATACGATGGATCAATGGAGTATATTAACTGGTCAATGAGACCAACACAAACGCCATTGAGGTCGGCTCTTCACCATATCAGCAAGTGTGTCCAACCAAACGTGTTCATTGTCCTTAGGACTCCAGCCAAGCAGTCGGGATGCACCAGCCGACGCCAGTTTCAAAGTACTTTAGATGCAATGATGCTTAATATGATTTTCACAATGAACCCCTTCAAACTTGCTGCTGCCCATCGTCATCCACTACAAATGGAAAATTCTTGCGATGGTGTGCAGAATTTAAGTATGGATTAGCGTCAGCACCACATATTTTCTGAGCTTTTCGCATAAATCGCAATCTGCGTACTTACTGACACTTGAGAAGATCGGCTCGGTGAGGGTGAACTTATTTTCACCTTAGATGAAGTTGTGTCAACCGCGCAACTGAATTTCATTAGCTGCTTGCACGGCATTAATCATCCCGTAGTCTTAGACTAGGGGGTTTGACAATTGATGTCTTTTTGTACCTCTGCCTAAAGTTGAAGTGTCTCACAGTAACCTGTTTTCCTGGTACGTCCTTGCCACGAACCTCAAACCTACACGAACTTCCCGTATTTTTCATGTTCTCAATTTGCAAAATGCTAGTACATGCCACTTTTCCTTGAAATGGAGTATACTTACCACCTGGTATACGCAGACGGCCTTATGCACGGTTGGTGCCACTTCTTATGAGAGCCCATGTTGGTTCTCCTTACCGAGACCTTTCAGAGGCTGGAAATCGTTACTGAACTGGATGCAGCACAGCCCTTTGTGTCTATGTTTCACTCTGTGTTAAGATTCTGCATCATTATCAAAGTTTTCTAGGATTCTTAACACTGATTTCGGATGGGGAGTTGGCATTATATGGGTATTTATCGAAATCCGATTCCAGCACTGTAAAGCTTTTGGTGCCAAATTACTTGCTTTTCAGCTATTTTTCTACATGTTTGGGACAATTTATATATCCTAAACCTCACCAAGACACAAGGCGGAATATCTTTGATGTCGGTCCAACTATCAACTGGCAACAACCACGATATTGATTGTGCAATTTTCCTCTCTATCACCTGGTCGAGGTCACCAAGTTGTCAGTTGATAACATGCCAAAGACATGGAGCATACGATCAAACGATTGAGTTTTTCTAACACTTATCGTCTTCTAGGAATGGGACCAGATACACTGTTTGCGTTTATGGGTAGCAGTCTTGGGTATCATTATGCTAACATATGCGTATCTTTGAAATATTCGTCCCTTCTCACTCTTTCTGCCTCCTACGGCAACCCGTTTCTCAGTTTTTGGACTGCTGATCTCTATTCTTTTCCCTTGCCGACAAATGGTAACTTGACGGGTCGTCATGATGCCCGGCATGTTTTCCCTTTTTGCTTCCTGATAATTATTGACGATAGCGACTTCGGTCTCCTCCAATTTTGACTTACTTTTTACCTCCCTTATATTTGGAACTTTTTGATACATCGATTTAAATTTCGCGATTTTTTTTAGGTCAAATGGACACTGTCTCCAAAAATAAACAAATTTTATTTAGCCTCTCTCCCGACGACAATTGTTCTGATGAAGTTCCATGTCCGGATGCAGTCCCGCAACTGTCTCCTGGAGTTGTTCAACGTTTCCGCAATTGTGTGATTCAAAAACTGCACAAACAGTGCGCCAGGTCCCTCGCAGGCAGTTGGTCTGTCCCTGAGAATGTTGACATTCAAGAGTTACGGTAATTCATGCATGCTGTCTGTCGTACGTCCTTGTTATGCGCTATCTCTATCTAGACGTGTTCGCTGTGTTATCGTTCGCCCTTATCGTAACAACCCACTGCTAATTTTTAGGCCTCAGTAATTCGGGTCTTTTTCTTAGATTTGCTTACCTAACACGAATATCAGAATGCTGTGCGTTTTCAGTGCCGCGTATTCGGTGCAAGAAAAACGATTAAGCCGCTCAGCACCGTTATATCACGCACCACGCTCAGTTGGCTAAACCACATATTGGGTATGCCGTTCCACCGACTCCCGCGTCGTGCGTTATTTGCGCGCCGGGGTGTAGATGGAAGAAAAGGTGGAGTCGCCAAGCGATGACTAGGTCAAGAGGAATGAAGTCTCTCGCTTCGAAGTTGGCGTCGGTTAGTATTTCCCGACCGTCTGGCTGCGGACCGAGTGATGCTGAACACGTTTAGGTTGGATGCACTAGCTGACATTGCGAAGAGCCGACCTAATGGAGTTTGTATTGTATCTCTATGTCCTTTCCCCTCTAGCTTCCCCTCCAGCAACGATACCAAACCCTATATATAATGTGCTAATTAGCATAATGTTATTTTTATGGCCACTTTAGTTTTTATCATTAATTATCCTCTTTCTGTATCACGGCACATACTCTGAGCAGTTTCTTATCCACGGGTAACGTGTATTGATGCTGACGATGTTGCTGCTGCTGCTGCTGCTGCTGCTGCTGATGATGATGATGATGATGATGATGATGATCCTAATCCTCACCCTTTTCTGGTGCAGCCATCCACGTTTACTTAAGCACAGCGGCTACAGTGTATGCTCATTCTACCCAACCTGAATACCCAGAGGCTGTAGTCTTGCTACTATTGGAGGTCATCTGTATCCTTAGACTATTTAGCCCATGATATTTTTTGTATAAAGCCGTAAGAAGACGAATAGCTCTTTCCGCGCACCGAGTGCGGTTTTGCTACAGTTAATCACCACGGCCTCTACGAAAAGAAGGTAGCGGGCGTTAGCCAGTCTTAACCGGATTGTTAATGTTGTGGCTGGATCAAACCGATGACAGGTGGCCAGTAAATGTCTGCCCATGGGGGAAGTAGGTGGCCTACGTGAACAGCAATCTGCTTCCTCCATTGATAGGCATTTACTGGCCACCTGTCATCCGTTTGATCCGCACACAATACTTGCAATCGTGTTAAGATATGCTAACGCCCGTTTCCTATGTTTTGCATAGGCATTCGCGATCTGCCGTATCAAACCCGTACCCTATGTACAGAAACAGCTGTTCGTAAGCCCAAGGCTGCCATGGGCGTATGGGAGTCCAACTGTCCTGACGTTTTCCGGTCTCACCCTATATGTCGTCTTATATGGTTTCATGTTATTGTATTGTCATTGAAGTGATAATACGAAATGTTACCATCTGCTTCTTTTCATCTTTTTGCGGCTTTACCATATTCTTGCGGATTACTGCATCTTGGATTTACCATCCACTGGCTCTTGCTACGAAACTGCTATCACTTCTCAACTGATAATGTTACTTTGAATAATGGTGAGATATTTACAATGAAATCTGATAGCCAAACGTATACCGCGGCAACTGAACATCATCTTTCCGTTCGTTCTCTGTGCTTCAACGCCTGATGCTAGTTTTGCTTTATGTTCGCTTCTTCTTGTTCTATGAATCTGCGTTGTAGGGGGTTCAGGGGCTGCACCTGACTGCGCCCGGCGTTCTAGTCCCTTCTGCTGTTAGGGTTATACTGACGCTATAGTATTCCGGCTCTTTTTTTCTTGTTTGGGTTACACTACAGCGAACCATAAATTTGGGATGAATTACTGCCCCGGTTTTGCCCTTCATTGCTATCAGTCGTATCCGTCTAGTACTTCTGCTAGCATTGGTAGTTATATTCTGCTTGTCTGATCACACCGGACAGTCTTATGAGATCGCGTAATGTTCTTGCCGTTTCTCTTCTTTTTTCTTTCATCTGCACTCAATCTTGGATGCTCCGATTCTTGACGCAGCTCCTGCGGTCTCAGCAATTATCTGTTCTCAGCTTGTTTGAGAGATCACGTTCCAGTGATAGCTGGTGAACCCCGGAAGGTTTTGATTCGCGTATATGGTGAGGTGCTGCGGAGTAGCGTCGACTCGATCGTATTGGATTCCGTCAATTTCGCCATTTTGTCCGAGAAACGTATTGGCCCCTCTCTCTACGGAGTTTTTCCCGGTGGACGCATAGAGGAATTCATTGAGGTTAGTTGCGTGACAGTCGAAATCTTCACACATTGCCGTGTGTTTTTCCACCACACAGCTTTATGCCTCTATATACACAATTTCATACATAATTCAGCTTTCATTAGAACTGCCTGTAGACACACATGGAGTCGAGTGCTGCGAGCGATCAGTGCTGGAGGTGTCTTCTTCACATCGGACGCGTTCCCAGTAATGCAAGTGACGGTTACTTTCGATGTTAATTGTTGTCCACATTGAGGCTGCTTGTCGCAGTCCAGTCGCACTATTGATATCTTAAGGCATATGTTAAGGTATCAGTAGTACACTTTTGCACAGTACTGACGCTTCGCTGCCGCGTAACCACCACCAGTCTCGCTTGGGCTAGGGATACTGCGGCGGTCGCGCGCTCTCTACGCTGGCTCCAACCCGTGAGCTCGGAGTACAAGGCAATCTTGTGATCCGTAAGGCCGCGAGCAATCCTTAAGGTGAATGTGTATGTTTGGTCTGAATTCATTCATTTTGTGCATTCTCTTCAACTGTTTGAATATAATGCGTGGAATAGCTAGGTTGTCCACACAAACAATCAGGGTTGCTACTGTAAATACAGCTAAAGAGGTGGATGCATGAGGCGGTAACTTTACATTCCGGTTTGTGCTTGTGGTAGCAATCGCGTTGTCCGAGCAGAGGTAAAACTGTTCCTCAAGGATTGCACAGCACGTTCCTCGTAACAGGGTTGTAAAAGTCACCACCAGTTTGATTGCTTTGCCTGCCAAACCCAACGGGAATCTTTTGAAGTATTTAACAAACAAAGTATTCTAGATCAGTTTACCGGTGATTCTGTGACTGAAATCAAGTTCACGCAAGAAGGCAGATTCAGTGATAAGCCTCGCACTACTCTGGTGCCCGTTGTTTATTCCAACCGGAGCCACGTGAGCTCGATGGCCTTCGACCACCTTGCACGTTACCAATGGCTTTACACATCGATTGTCTTTGTATTCAGCCTAGCCATTCCACAGCTGAGAATACGCGAAATAACTTGATTCAGACTATACTGTCAAAAGACAGTCATTTCTTGCTTTTTTGGAATTTTTGAAGCGATACTCTTGCACGTACGTAATGACTTTCAGTTGTACCCCTCCATTACTTTATCTGAAATCATATCCGGACAGCATTTGAGCTTTGCTACCCTCTCGAGAAAGTATCGGACAACCATTTCATCCTCGATGATGTATAGTTCTATCGACCGGGGTACCGGTCAAATCAGCGGCCATCACCAATTAGTTACGATGGAGGCGTTGTAGTTATATATCTTAGTTTAGTGCTGCAGCGTCTACTTGTAACTAGTCATCGTCTGAGTGACATTTTTGAGTGGTGTCGTAAATTGCCGAGTAAGCTGTTCTAGTTCCATTGAATCGAAATTCTCTTCCAAACCTCACTACATTGCATATCCGCGCGTTTCAGTGGGACCAATTACACTCTGAATCAATCCGCTTTTATCTTATGAGAGCAAGTAGTTTTGGTCACTGGAATAGATCAACGGCACTTTCAACCACATCAGCCCTATGCTTCACTATTGGTTTCGTTTTAAATGTCATCGAGGTGGATGGACTCCGGAGGACTATTCAAAAGAGAGTTGTTCTAGCAAGTACTCAGCTTCGACTGGCCAGAAGTTACGCACAATCGCAGCTAGGTTCGGTCACATGCAACACGATATTTACATGAACCATGCTCTTATCACTGAAGGGTTTGCTTTGCATATCCATAAGATCAATGTGACCTTTCAATTTCCACTCAGCCGTATAAACGACGCGAACTCATCTTATTGACCAAAGCTTGGGGTGCTCAATAGTGTTGTCTCGTAGGTCGGACGCTTAGTCGCCACGCGTCGACGAAATTGAAAAACCAGCGTTTACTTATGAGTAGGCGGATTGGATCAGATTTACTTCATCCATCGCAATTCGATTACAGGCCAGATAGGTCAACTGCCCGTCCGGAAAAGCACCAGACGATCGTTTCGTCCTATTGGGGCTCGTCAGTGGTGTGCATTCTCTTAATCCCTTTTTGGGGATCGAACCCATGACCGCTAGTGGCCTGCACTACTAGCCAGCAGTTTAGACCACCGTGCCGATGGGGACGATAGTCGACCATCATGAGTTGTAATCTTACTGTGATATAGCCTGACCCATCTTCCACTAACATGCAGATTACTGCCCACTCCATGGGCAGTGGTTGGCCCTCAGGTGACATGATTTCTCTTGCTAGTAGCCGTAAATCCACACCGCATTTTGAAGACGAGTACTGCTAAGTTTTTGATAACTTATGCGTAGCGAATTGGTTGGCCTATATCACAGATTTCAATCTAGGTCAGCTATCGTCTCCATGGCTTAGTTGCATAAACCGTTGGATGGTGGTGCAAGCCACTAGCGATCATAGTTTCGATCCCCTGAAGAGGACCGAAGGAATGCGCATCATTCACTAGCCCCAATAGGACAAACCGACCCAGCTAATGCTTTCCCTGTTTGCTAATTGATCTGCTTGGCCTGTACTTTAATTGCAATAAATTAAATGAAGCCGGCATTTGTCTACCCACCCATGCTGTGCTCCTCAACACAGCAGACCGACAGCACAATCGAGTTTCGTTGTGTCCCATGTAGTTAACACCTGAACTCCATTGGTTTTGCTCGTTTACATGCTAGCAATCATTTTTTGTATTGTGAAGACCGCAACCAGCTTACCTATACATCTACAACCGCGTGCCGCCAAGGATGCGGAATGAGAACCGCTTTATCAATCTTTGGACCACGATGCTCCGGCACTGCTCCTCAGGATACACACATGTACGCACGCATATTAAATCGGTTTTACAGTTTATAACACTCGGGCCCAATAAAAATTGCACTTGGCGAATGCGAACGATGACTCTTAGTCAAATAACCTGAAAATACTCAATGAACATTGGTGTGAATTATACTTCGGTATCACGTCTTGTTGCTGTATTCTGTTGGTTCTCTTCCTCAGGTGACCTATTTACAGGTGTTCGCCGCACCGTGCCCGAAACATATTTTTCGCTCCGCTGCATCGAGTAAAACCACATCTACTATCAATCTCCCAGAACTTGCAATCTCACCACTTGCGTTGGGTTCAGCCTGTCATTGCATATCCCGAATTCCTCGTTGCGTTTTTATCCTGACTACAGACCAAGATGACTACACACGTGACTTTCACGTTGCACTTTTTGTATACTGTCTAACTGTTTGCTATTCACACTGTCTCAGCAGAATAATCTTGTTCTCTGAACACCTTACTGGGAGGTAAAAGGGCGCTCATTTTGCAGAAACTACGGCGGGTAGTTGGCCAATTAATTACTGTCACTGCGTTCCATTTCTTGTTTGAATGGCTACATGTCGGCCACATCTCATCGTTGTGTACTCCTTCATCCTTTCGTCTTGTGGTCATAATTTAGCCCTGGTGGACTCGTCCATCGGGTCGTCATGCCATGTTATATTTTTCTTTTTCACTTTCTCCTAAACTAGACGCGGAACCCCATTGGTGAGTTATGCTAGGAAGCCACTCCACTTCATGTCGTTATCTTTTACCAGGATTGGTTGCATGTACACCCTGGAATTCTAATGTGCACTTTCACCGGACGGTTTGTGTTTTCAGTCGAGACCTTTGTTGGCGTCCGAACTGTCCATTCCGAAAGTTATGGAGGCCATAGCTCGTCACACCGCTCGGATTCATCGACTTAATATGCCATTTTGCAAACAACCCACGTTTCTACTCAAGATGATGGAGAAATTTTTGGCCCAGTTGACCGGTGCGCGGGAACCTCCAAGCCGCCCTACTCCCAATTTATCGAAAACCTCTCTGGCTGAACTTCAAGTAGAATACGACCGACATGTTACGGAATCTAATGTAGGAGAATGGGTGACTGTGGGCTTTCTGGAGACACAACAAATGGCGTTGCAGTTCAGGCTGTGTGAGGAATTCGCCTGGTTGAAGTGAGCCTCCATCATTCTTTTTTGCGTTTCTGCGTTTCGAAACAAATTCTCTTTATGATTCCAAACAGAAAATTCAGATCGTGCGTTCACCTGTTCGCCAAGCTTCGTAATTGGTATGCAAATCGCTTCTGGATCAAATATAATCCGCTAAGGCGCAGGGAACTGAAACAGCTTAAAAACCGTCTCAGGCAGCTAAATGAGCCATCAAAAACACAATCGCAACAGCCGGGGCAAAACCACCCTGTGGATCCCCCGTGTCTACCAGAGAGGTTGGGCAGACGGGTGAAAGTCACGGGGCGCAAATCGAGTACGTCAATTCAGAAGTCACTTTCTGATCGATTACAAATCGACGACTTAATTAACGGATTACATTTGACCCAGCAGCGCATTGAGGAAGTCACCTCGTCTAGTGATGAAACGTTGGCACACCAATTGCAAAGCTCAGCGAACAGTTGAACCCAGGAACGGTCAACACGAGCTACCAATGCATCAATTCATTTTGAGGAACTTCAGATGTACTTTGTATGATGACGTCACCATTTCGAGCATTCTTATCGCGCGCAAACACGCAGCATTGATAGATAAACCAACACAATGTTACATGAGATCACAGATGGTCAAGTGTTTGCGCTGCCAGGTTAGGCTTAGAGCCACAGTCAGTTGCTTTTGTATGCGCATCGGTGAACGTTCGCGATCGATGCCGCTTGCCTCATGAAGATCACTGAGAAACAAATAAGTGATCCACTAAAAATGGTCTACAATGCAGCAGAACTGCGACTGTTCACGTGGATTAGACCTATGTTTCTGTTCTCGATTAAGACACCGGCGACGAAGCAGTGCATGTCACACTGTTTATATAAATTCACCTGGAACTGCGGAGACAGCTGCTTTGGGCGCACGGACCGAGTGTCAAGATCGATGAACAAACCACCAATTGGTTAACAGCCGGAATCGGTTTAATCTGGTAACCGAGCTTCTTTGACAGTCACAAGGGCAGAATTAACAGTTCACAATGGCACGCACTGCTTGCTCACGCTAAGCTAGGTTTAAACCCTCAGAATTAAACGTTAATTGTGGTGCGGCAAGTTGTGTTAAATTTGTGCGATTTAGAATAGAGTGCACAAAATGCCGTAAAATTCCGTCCCTAGTGGTGTTCGTCTTAGCCTCAGCGAGACAAAGAAGCTTGACAACTTTTTGTCCACAATCCGTCATATAACCAATATTTCGTATCTATCATGAAAAGTCTAGTAAGGAGAAACATTGTTGCTCGTGAAATGCTCGAAAGCAGTTCTTCTTGCTGAGGCACAGGGGAGCATTGCACTTTGTGCAGCCGATCATTGTCTGGCCCTGACAATTTGGGTGTTTACATCGTTGCCGGACACTACCAACCACTGGTCAGTGACCCACTGAATTTGACCAAACCTCCAGTTATACTTAAATAAACGTTTTATTCCCTATGGTGCGAGACTCGCCTTCATAGGTACGACCATGGTAATACATACGCTTAACCTTAGTAATGGTACAGAAATGGTACAAGTGAACCTGTACATACTGGATATATGTGTGTATGTATGTGGGTGCACTTCTAAGTAATCGTGTTGATTGAATTTGTTATTATCACTGTGAATTTGTGAGTTTTTCGGTGAATGCGCCAATATGGGAATGGATCAGATGAAATCTTCGAACTGGTTGACGTCCGCGCAATGTGTAAAATCTTTCGGTATGGCAAGACAGTGACTTTATTTAGTGGCGAGTCATATCCGCTACGTCAGTGTTGTTAAGCAGACATTTGTGACTTTCTATAGGAGGAATGCTTGCTAGAAGAAAACTCACTACGTCCTGGAACACTACCGCCGAACTATTAGCGGGACGGCCATTAACCGAATCACCCAGCTGACACCACGTGGAGGTTCTTCGACCAGCCAGCCTTTGCTGGACTTAGGCGTTTCTTCCTTTTGAACTTCGTTCCAATGGATGGTGAAAGTCATCCCATCTTCTTCCCACGTCTCACTCAATACTACAAATAGTCGTGACTTCAAATAAACCGCAAAGTGTGCTGACCTATGATACAAATCGAATCAAATATACGTCCTACAAGTGCCACAAACGGCGCGGAAGGCAAGTAGGTGCATTGTAGGCTACATTTACGAAAGGTGCGCTTTCGCGGCATACGACGCTAGGGGATTAAGCTAAATATTCGAAGTGTGTGTGCTGTGGGTGATGCCTCGCCCATCATTATCACCATTCTACACGCCAGCTATACATTAAATACCATATGATGGGATTACACGCCGTAATCCAGCAAGGGCTCGCACCTCCAATGCCGCATATTATGCGCCTCTACAAAATCCGAGGAATTCCCCCAGTTTTCCTGTCATCCAGTCGGCAGGTTGTGTTTGACTGCAAATCCGCACACGGCTGCACCTGCTTTTGGCGCACGCGCCATCATATGAGGAGCAGGTGCGTTAACTCTATGATCAGATATCCTACCTTGGCAAGGCTTTCACGAGCTTGTTTGCGTCATAATTTTCCTTTATAACTGTGGATGCCTGAAATGATTTATCGGAAGCAATTTTCTCCGCGCATTTATTAACTTCTGACTCCATTCGAATAGTTTATAACTAAAGATTACCAGCTTATCCACGGAGCGAAATATGTCCAGATGGAGGCGTTTCTTTAAAAATGTCATACAATAAGAAACCCAAATGGTTCACTCATTCCATCTGTTTACCATAAAACTACTTGTCTTGTGGATTACAAACGAGCTCTGGTTCGTACCATTTTTACAAGAACTCGCCAGATCTGCTCCGAGGAAACGATTGAATGTTAGGTACAACGCGTCCCTTCGATATTGCGTGAAAATGGATATCTGGAAAATTTCATAGAACGGCACTCAAACCCGAACGGTAAAACTAGGAATGGACGGGCGACCGACGTCCCTAGGTAATAAGTGTTTATAGCGCTGCTATTCTAAGGAGATCAAAATAACAGGAGATTCCGGTATCATATCCGTCATTCCATAGCAAATGTCATTACGCTGCTGAGCTGGTGGTTTTGCACCAAGTTAGAAACTTGCTGTTTAACTCCAAAGTGAACAAAAATGACCCCCGAGTTACAGCCTTCTGCATTCACCTGTTTCAATGCACTTACAGTGGCGAGTACGTCAGTCGGTCTGTGAAGACTGTCCACAAGGATTTTGAAGCATATTCTACGAAACCTAGTCGCGAATGGTCCGAGGCTGCCCACCGGTTCCATCGCCTGACACATACTTGACTGCCCCATGTGTAGACCATTTAGGATAATCAACGGACAGTGCACTGCTCGGCTGTTTCGACAATTATGTGGCTGAATCCCATTCTGCGTAAACAGTCTCCTTGTTTTAGTGAGGCTGGTGGTCGCATTTCTCTAAGCGGAATGCCGTCCAACAGCAGGTGAACTTGGACTGCCATCGTTTACCAATAAGGTTGCTCCTAATCATTTCATTAATTTTATCTAAACAGCTGACGAGAATACGCGAAATAACGGAATCTAGATTATTCTGTCCAACTGTTGTTTTTTCTTGCCATTTTAAAGAAATATTGTCAAGTTGTCTAGTGCTTGACCGTAAAACGATTAACCTTCTCACCCAAAGCCTTTGGTCTAGAAACCTGACGGCACGGCAATGAGACTTTGGTAGTTATCTACATAATGCAACTGTGGCCATTCACGGTATCGTTATAGGCACTCTGGGGTCCTGTCGAAATTATGATATTAGGTAACTCTAGAAACAGATACCGTTTGCCGTATTTCGCCAACTCATTTGCCTCAAAACGCTTGCCGACGCGATACTAGCCTACTCGCATCTACGGTGGCAACTTTGGAGTTCGCTTCACATAAGAATCTTCATTTGACTTCACATCCGTACCCTACTTGCCGATGGTGTTACCATTGCGTGCGCCTTCACAAATCTATTTTTTTGTACTCCCACAACTCGTTAATTAATCAGGTTAAAATGCTTCATCAAATGCCTTGACAGCTTGTCATTTTTTACGTTTCTCGGGGAAACTCTCACTCTCCGTCGCAAACGTCGTTAGTTGGTCGATGGTTTTGTTGTTATTGGTTTCGGAAGATTTCCGTGTTCATCATTATCTACACAAACAAGACCATCCGCACTTGCAGGTTGGAGATCAAGAGAAAAGGTTTCATTGGATCGGACGACTACCACAAAATCTCCTTTACTGACACGACTCTGGTGAATAACGCCGCTGTCGTTTGTTACAGACGGAATCACTGTCTTCGTTGAGGTTATCATTAACGAAACAATTCGGTATCCGATGAGAAGCTTGCCGCTCTCCAAAATAGGCTGTCCTGTTATTTGCCCTGTAGGCATTGTACTTCGCTTATTCCAATGAAGTTTTATCTTTATTTAATGAAATTTGTTATATTAGTTTGTCATTGTTGCTCCTTTTGTAGGGCTAAATTCCAGGAATCGCCAAAGGACATGTTTCCCGTCGTATTCTGTCATAACGACCTCCAAGAAAGTAAGTATGCACAATGTTTTGCCGCGTATTTCGCGTTGCTTGTCTAGTCTCCCGTCTTCTATTACACCAATTAGATCTCTTCTTTTCTGAGTTGTGCTACAGCCCCGCATTTTGTGTTATTTTTCTGACTTAACGAGTATTTGACCGACGTTTTGCAGCTAGATTGGACAACGTCATCCATTTTCCTTCAAAGACCTGTTTTGCATAATCTCGTAAGCGACTTCGGGATACATTCACTTATTGCTGGTCTTTTCAGCAAAAGCGTGAACTTATTGGAGCCTAGAATTCCGAGCACAACTGAATCAACAAGGACGTGGATCTAGAAGTCGCTCATGAGGCTCTGCAAACCAATCCCTTGAAGCCACACTGATGATGCCTCCTAATGACAACCAAACGTCCGCAACCGAATGCTTGAGCTCGGAAAACCACACGGCATCCTGTCACGGGGGCGAAACGGCTGACTACGATGGCTCATTCTAGCAGGGCGAGATTAGCCAGTTCACGTGAATGGCTGACAAACTCGTTGCCTTGTTCAAACCGGAAGCTCATGAAATCAGTTCGTCATCATCACACGGGTTGCTACCCGACCTGCGGTACCACGGCTAAGTCACACGAGAAGGTGATTTGTTAAGACCATCAGCATGAAACAAGTTGCTACGGGAGATGATAGATTGTGACCTATAAAATGAACCATGATCTGTACCTAATCTATTTCGGTGTTCTGTTTACGTCCCAGGCTGGGTTAGCAGAGGCGAAGGGCAGCGTTACAACACATCCACTTTCTGCAGGTGCTTAACTACAGCACACCGTGAGTACTGCATCGTACTTATTTGCTGCTCACGGAGCAAGTCCAACTGCTTTCTTTCGCGCTGTTCCTTTCCATCTATCCCTTTGGTTGCATTTAATTCCGATCACACCTTTGCAACTGTTCTTCGGAAGTCATTTAAGGATCTTCCGGGCTTTAATTTTATCACGACTACCCTAGCCCTATTCACATAAATCATCCTTTGGTTCTCTGTTCCCCATGGCATTAATTCATTGGATGCCACACTTTCTGGATTGGCTTGCCACTGTGATTGTGCAAACAGCCGCAAGGCGCATGCACACATAGATAGATCATGGGGGGTTTTGTGCTGCATCACCCGCAGTCCTGTCACACACGCACAGATCATTTCCAGTGTAAACCCAACGCAGTTAAGCCGAAACCTTTGCTTCTGAAGGTCACGATTCTAACGGAACCGACTCCCACTTCTTCCGCATGCACACAACCCTCAGGTAGTTTTGGGGTGTAAATGTGTTTCAGGACGGCAACCGGACTGTGGCCTCTTCCTGACCTCCTTATGAATCCTGAGAATCCCGTCTCTTCCAGCAACGGCTACAATTTCTTTCGAACTTTTAATCGACGTGGTGCCAACATTGGCACCCGGTGCAGAAATGTCTCGCATAGTCCTCGGAGATAATCCGCAGTTATCCAACTTTTGGCTGCACTATAGTGACAGCTTGCAACATTTGACTTGTCAACCCGAGTACGTGTACAACCAAATGATTGAGTAGTATCAAGTATGCGGACATCCCACCCCATGGTGGCTTTCCTTGAATATACCACCTTTTATGCGGTTAAGCGTACTTGTTTGCAGCATAGCTTCATGTGGGATGTACTAGCAAAGGCTTTCCCCTACAACGAAAATATGGCGACTCATGGAATCGCGTGAGATTTGTCTTTTGAGATGACCTCGGATGTACATTTTCCACACTTATACTTTATGATCAAACTGATAATGAATTACTTTCCATTAACTGATTCTTCTGGACTAGATGTTCTTTCAGTTAATCTACCAACAAGTTACTAGTCCGTGGACGCTATGGGTCACCTCGATTCTGACTCAACTGCTGTAGCAATCGCCGACAGCTGCGCGGCTTGGCATGTATTTCCTGCCCCAAATGTCAGTTAACTTTGCAGGTTGAACAGCTACCTTGCCATTCCTATCGACCACCAAGAAGTTTTATGGGTTTGTCAGTCAACTCACTGACTAGGCTGTTGCGTATATCGGTAAGACTTCTAGAACTTATCAGAATCTTATACATCAATCCACTGGCTGCCTGGATCAGAGACACCCACTGCATATCTTAACATTCCCGCGTTTTGAAGGACTGTTCGTATCTGGCGTGAGGTCCGGGTGAATTTTATTGGGTATTTGCCATCACACTGATTATGCACTGGATCCTTCTGCTAACCGCATCCTCCGCCCTAGTTCGACCGTGCTATTCACACCTCTTTTGATCGATTCCCTCTCCATCCCTCGTTTGCAACTATTTTGTCTAGATTAAGTCTAATAAAAACATCCATCTTTTGACCGATTGCAGTTTTATTTTCAGAAAACCTAGCGCTTTCCCAACGCGTCTCTTCTTATTGAAGCTCGTACTTTGGTCGGTGTGGATCTAACTACAAAGCTTGTTGGACGGCGTTTCCGATCCATCCGTCTTCTGAGTTGCACTGCGTTCCCATCCCGTGGTGTGTGTATGTGTGCGTTACTTCTATCAATGGGTTCGTGGTGAACCCGAACGTGTAGCAGTATTTCAAGCTGCAATTCTTCTTCATCAGTACCTTTGATATCGCCGTGGTGTGTATGAATTCAATTTTTGTGCTGTGTCCACGTGTGCGATTTAATTGTCGCTTCACACGTTGCGGAACTACGGCGACCCAGAACAATTACGAATCCTTATGAATAGATGGACTTTTATTAAATTTTACCGATTCGTCCCACTTACGCACAAGCCAGCTTAGCCCAACACTAATCCGGAAAAGCACCAGGCGTACGTTTCGCCCTATTAGGACTCGTCTGTGTTGCGCATTCCCTCGGACCCCTACTGGGGATCGAACCAACGGCCGCTTGCAGATTATGCTAACTAGCCAGCAGCATATTCCGCTGAGTCATGGGGGATCGAAGCAGACCGTCTGTATTTGCAAGCTAACGGGGGTATTCCGCAAACCCATCCTCCACTGCAAATTCAATCAACCTACACGTTGAACTACGGTCACCAACTTAATCAATTAACTAAAGGATCAAAATGCCGGTGAAACACATTGGACGACGAAGTCAGCTACAGAGGCACGGGCATCAACTTTATCCGGCACATATATGAGTGATCAATTTCCATTGTCTTGTGCCCATCAAACAATCCGAACTCAGACTGACGGTTTGTCCGCCCGGACGTGATCGTCATGCACACCCCCTAAGACCGCATTACACCGCTCCGCTCCGCTACATAGCATCGCGGTGATGTCATCTCATGTAAACAAATGAGCAATTATTTTATCCTCGAATGTATCGAGGCACACCATATCAAGTATGATCGCAAACGGCGATGAAACGTTTACGCCAAAACTGCTGAATTCAGGCAACACTCCGATCAGCAACTGAACAACTTGGGTGGCCAATATTTGCTTCCACATCACGAACCGAATCCATCATTATTCTCTCTGCGCCGACAATTTGAGTTATATGGGCATGTTCATGAACCAACTTGTTTCCGAATCCTACACTGGTCTTATTTTCTTTTGCTCGTTGTTTTCTTTTTAAATATTGTGTACATCCCATGAGAAATTGCATGCGTGATCCGTGGCAGTCATCCCCGTTTGTCCACCCTGCATCATCTCACCACACCTACTCCATTTGCATTTTCAAGCACTTGGATTTCGTCCCTATGTCACACCTACTTGCGTCACTACAGTGGGTACATTGTTCCGCCAACCAGCATGTGTATGTTGCTCTACTGTTCCACATACAATCTGCTCATTCGGACAGTGCATTTACTGGATCGTTGTGGCCAAACTCTTTCTTTTACTTCGCCTCAATGTTTTCTCTGCATGTCTATCCTCCGTCACCTCCCTACTCTTTGTCCACAGACAACATCCTTGTTTTAGACAAGCCGGGGGAAGAAGGCACCTACGAGTTGTTGCCCATAGACTTCGAATATGCTGGTTACAATTATCGGTAAGTCCAGTTGCTTGTCGTCTTCTTCATTCACTGGTGGTTCCTCGCGGCATATGTGCACACTTGCAATGGCAGATTGGTGCATTCTTTTGGTAAATGTCTGGTAAATCAGCGATCTGTGCTTCCAATTTCTACTCTTCATTGCCGGTGCCGATTCCTCTTGCAATTTACCCACAGTCCTTGCCAGTTACATCTTTTTGACTGTGGTTTCCGCATAATCTATCTGTTGGTATTTTAACCTTAGTTACACTTCCCCCCTCGGATCAACGCTTCTTTCTGATCCTTCTTTATAGGGCTTTTGATGTGGGAAATCATTTCAACGAATGGTGTTATGATTATGCCATACAAGACCCACCTTACTACACCTATAATTATGATCTCTATCCTTCTCGGGAGCAACAAGTAAGTAGCCACTTGGATTGTTGGTTTGGTGTCGGTTATCTTGATGATGGGTCAAACTGATCACTAAACACCACTCTCACATGCTGGCTACTTTAATTAGTCATATAGAACGCCTTGTTTTGTTTTATTGGTTTGGCGACCGCATTTCAATGGGCTCGGAATGGCTGTATTTTTGAATCACCAGTTAACAGTATCTACCCGTGTATGTTTAACGAGTTCCATTCAGTTGATTAACTACTTTCCTGCGGCCCGTTTCAACAAACCAGGCTAATCCTGACCGATACATTGCATATCCGTCCATCTCACATTTCACTGTGGCCGCATGCACTATGTCTGACCAGTTCCAATCCGTTCAGTTAAACAACTATGAAACGGACAGTGTGCTACGGCGGATCTAGTTGCCACGACTCGCCTCCCCAGGATAGCATTAAATGCCAACGGTGAGAAAGTAAGGTGGAACGCATAACGAAGTGCCAACTGAAGGGTTAAGGAAGAGGTGTGTGAACAATTTGAACAGAAACTGTTCTTAACGAGCTGTTTGCAACATTTGGTCGCACCAACCATATGCTCCGTGTCATATCGCACTGTCTAGCTATGGCCAGTTATTTTACTTTTATTCACTTATGATCCCCTCCGTTTTTATTCCATCCCGGAGAGCAATAGTCCAGGAGTAGAAAACAATTCTCAGTGTTAGACGATTCTGTGTTTTTGAACGCATGCAACAGATATCAACTTGAAAATTCCTCTCGGAATTACGTTTCGTATCAGTAATTCACGCAGTCATCTACTTCGACCATCTCGCGGTACAGTTTGGTCGAAAAATACCCCGGCCTTTTTTGCGCCGTAGTTAATATGCCCTTTTTCATTAATTATCATGGTTATTATTATCCTTCCACCTCACCCACATTAAATTCTTAATCACTCCATTGTTCAACACGACTGGGTCGATCTCCTGAGGGGATGGATTAAAGTTTCCAACACTAGTATTTGTACTCATACAGAGCATACTGCCATAGGCTCACTGGCGAGTAATACATGTGTTTGATACAAAAAACCGATTGACGTTACAAGCTAGATAGCTTGAATATCCATGCTATGCCTTTTCTCAATCAATCACATCCATAGCGCTTCCAAATTCCTCAAGAATATCATATTCCTCCATGGATCCTTCAAGGTAGATAGTCCTCGACGCTATCAACTTACATCTAATGTATGCCAACGCTGTTAAGAATGCATATTATTCGTTAATTGACCAAGCCGAAGTTAGTCGATAGTACAAAAGATGAGTACACAGATTGAGATGCTGTTAGCTGATTGGGGATTGGTCACTCAATGGACAGTATCATTTAGGGGCATTCACTCCTGTTCGGTGCAGTTTGATAGCTTTAAGTATCCTTTTGGGAGATCTGTGCTGGAACACATTCTCTTTTTAAGGAGGAATTTGAAAAGACTATGAATGCAATTGACTGAAAAATGTTATGCATATACATGAAAACAACCGTAAAGGTGAGCAAATAGGTGATGGCTTACCTGCTTTAATGCCATGATGACGCGCTTCTATAATGTGCATAGAAGTGCGGGTGAAACCGTTCGAAGAACTACCCCACATGTAAGCAAGTCCTTTGGATATTGTTCCACGATTGGCCGTATTACTTCACTTTAAAAACTTGGATTTATCGCAGTCTGTTATTTTTGGCAACCTCCCAGTCTTTTCGAAAGGTTCATCTGATCAATCAGTCCCTCCAACCATACTTCGGGAACTGCTCTGAAGTGAGAGCTGACTATGGAATTCCCCTTTTCCGTCGCTCTAGCTGTAGTCGGTGGGGCATTAATGGAGGCAGTGAAGTCGTATTGCAAACTTGCAGCTGTTCACTGATATCCAGTCGACTAGGTTATCGTCAGAACACAAATTGCGTAATTGGTTGGCTATCGCCAGAAACGCGATGAGTCTAGTCATTATCGGCCTATTCGGGATCAGTGTCTAAGAATCGGTACGACGCTGTTATTTTCTATGAATGTTTCGCCGACGCAACAAACATTAATACCAATGGAGTGTGAATTTAACTTTAGTACTGCTTGTTGCCTGATCTGACCAAGATTGCGGACGTTAAACAAACAAGTGGGAGATGCTAACCTTGGTCTGAAGGACAAGTGATGCACCCAGAGTAGCATCTACGAAATCTTTCGCAGTCTGTTCCTCAATAGACGTGGAAGAAGACTTGCAAGGAAAAAAACATGCAATGGGGACTGGAGGGGTTTCGGTCTTGCTAGTTCACAACACTGACATCCCAAGACCGGTTCTCTCCTCGTTTGGACTCATCAGGTAGAGATAACCGAAGCTGGGAGTGGATTTCAGAACCTAATGATCAATTGCCGGCTCATTGAAGGAAGAATTGTTTAGGCCACGGGATCTAGAGGGCAGATGATACTCTTCGTCTGTCCATTCCAGGAGTGAGGTTATGTTTGATGGGCTCTGCCTCTAACCTTTGACTCAACGCTGTGAGTCGCAAAGCAGTGAGAGCTAGGTCCAACTCGAGAGTTTGGTTACAGTGTCACATTAGAATGCGTGTGACGTCTGTCACACACAGCTTTATTTCCATTTGGTTCATCTACTCATTAGTAACAGCTTTATTTGTTTGCCGCTTCTGAACCTGGTTTGAATGAAACTGTGAGATAAGCAGTATATGGCGTGTTACAGACATGAAGTGAAAAACTGAGAATCTTGTTCAGGCTGGATAGTAGTGTCGAGGTCTAACCACACCAGTGCTTGGGTACCTTATCGAATACAGCGCAGTCGCGCATCCAGCGATGCCACTGCATCTAAGCGCTGATCATTCGGCTCCACTAGTTCTCTCCGCCATTTTCACCAACTCCACCGATGAGTCCAAACCGGGACAAAACCGGTCGTGTGGCCCATTGTGGGGAGTAAACGACACAAAAACCCCTCCACTTCGGATACAATCTTAGTGCTCGGAATGACGGGTCCCAGTAGCGATCGTAGATCGCAATCCAACCACCCGGCGCGGGCACCGACGTCCAACTCCCCTTGCTCTGTTACTTGATGATGATGGTGACGCCAGTCTTGGCAGCTGGATCCATCTCACCTTTGCGCTCGGCCAATACTTTTCAAATTAGCTTCGATAGCGACACTGACGGGGGGGCACCTACGTTTCCGTTGGGTTGCATTAACCTCTGTCACCCACGCAAAGCATCCAATTCCTGCCTATGCTTGTGTGTCAGGGAGTCGAATCACCGCGTTTGCTTTGTTTCCAAGAGCTTGGGTCCATACAGTTCTGCACTTTTCCAGCACCGTACCAATCGCTATGTTGAGTTAATTTGCCTTTGTTTCTCTCTCCTTCACCGCCATTTTACTTCTTCCAGTCCCAACTAATTTCCCTCGATGGTACTCCATTTTATTCCTCCTTCTCATATGTCAAACCCTGAATTTTTACGACACTCTTATTCTTCTCACAGGCGTTCTTTTGGACTGCATATTTCAATGCTGACTGCGTTGAACGAAACAGTTCGGGTGACTGTGGTTCCCCAGACACTACAAATGACCATACAAGTCAGTTGAATGGCGAACATGACTTTGACAAGCTGTGGATTGAAACGGCCTACGGCTCGTTGTATTCACACTTGTTTTGGGCCGCCTGGTCCTTGGTGCAATCCCAAATATCCAGCATCCGTTTTCGCTTCAACGTGAGTTACGACATCTTATTGTTCATGACAGGCTTTACGATTGTACTTCGTTCCCGTAATATGGTTGTTGTCGGTACTCTATTGCCCGTTACTTCCTTTATGTCTCTTGAAGGCTTCATCGAAGGTATTGACGTGGTCGTTTGGCTGACGATATAGAGGAACAAGAGTTAAGGGCGAAACTTATTTTCCGTAGTTCATTATCAAGGTACCACACCACAATTAAGAAAGTTAGAAGGGACGTACTGGAGTTAGAAGCAATTAGTCATTGGATCGAAATGCCTAGATGATATGGCCGCGTACTCACCCTCATAACTCAAGGTGGTCTATGACGACGATAAACCGAAGGCCTGAACAAATCTATTTTACACCCACTTGTCCGGATTTCGGGATCCGAATTGCCATCATCCCTGCTGCGGCATCCGACCACTCATATGTGGCGCCCTGATACACGCCTCTCGATTCTACCACGTTCTATAACGAACTGTGTGTGCACCAGCATGCCGATGCGTTGTGTTCACGGACCACTAACCAGAAGCTCGTCTGGGAGTGCCGGACTGTGTAACTGAGGCCTATCTGATGGAAAAGGAGGTATAAGGATCCAGCCTGCCAACTTCGATTTATGTAGGGGGTATAATCAATATTTTCGCAATGTGTGGGAAATATGCAATATAGTAACATCCAAGATTTCACATAATATGGCATTTCGAAACCACTGCGCTCGTCAACGTGGTGTCCTTTACTGATCAGGTGGTTAGTTATGGCATCCAACTTAGTTTTCTATCCTTTCTGCTGATGAGCGAATTCGGTAGCTGTTTTTTGATTCGCTTTTCTAAGTGCCTGATCGTGTGTCCAATGTACCTAGCTCCACAGGAGCAGATGAACCGGTAGATCACTGTTCTTTGGAGTTGATGAGGCACTTTGTCTTTTAATCTAGGGACAACTAGCGATTCACTCGTATAAATCATATTGAGGTTGGCTGCGTAGAAAGTCTTTCTAAAAGATCGCACTGACATTCGCTTACATATCTCAGCTGCTTTGCCACCTTTAAGGGGATCTTGAGGTACAACTGTTTCTTCTCAGCCGCTTGTACCATGGGCCTCGGATCGTTGGGTTTCATATGGATGTCAGTGAAGCGCCGTGGATAACCAGTTTCAAACAGAGTGTTCTTGATTCGTCTCACTTCCTCCGCAATAGTATCTTCGTTGCACGGTTAATTGACGTATACACCAGTGTTCTCTTTCCAATGAGTTGGACGACGCTCTGGAAGTGTGTGTATTGCCTCGTCCAGTACGGCTTCCTAAATAGTGCTAACTGAATATGTACGCGAAAATCGGTGCAATCCTGTAGAAAGACCTTCTACGCAGCCAACCTCAACGTGATTTATACGAGCGAATCGCTAGTTGTCCCTAGATTCAAAGACAAAGTGCCTGATCAAATCCAAACAACGATAATCTTCGGTTCACCTGTGGAGCCTGTTACATTAGACACGATCAGTCACTTAAAAAACGAATCAAGGATCATCTACCGAATTCGCTCATCAACAGAAAGGATAGAAAACTAATTTGAATGCCATAACTAACCACCTGATCAGTAAAGGGCACCATGTGGACAAGCGTAGTGCCTTCGAAACTTCACATAATTTGCTATCTTACTTGAGCCATCAGTGGAATATTATGTATTCGATTTAAACTACCGAAAGTTTGGTGAATAGATAAATAGTTTTCTGTCAACCCAGTTGAGTGATTTAATCAAATGGTACAGCAGGATGGCATAAAACAGGTTCAGTCTATTCAACTTCGTTCCCAAGCGAATTCTGTCAGTTCTCGATCCATCGAATGAATTGGTGATAGCACGGACGATGACTAGAGGGTTGCTTCCGTATGCTCCATGGTCGCCTAAATGCGGAGCATATTTTTTCGCACCGTCTAATCAGATTGTACAAACTCCTATAGCAGCCATCCCACAGCATGGCCACACGGCACGAAGTAGGGTAACTGATCGACAAATTGGGTTTTAGTGCCTAAATTTCTGCGTACTAGCTTTGGTATCAGCCATACAATTGGTCATAGATTATATCGCCGGCCCGTAGCTTAAAGGATCACAAAGCTACCTTGTAATCCGAGGGCGCGGGTTCGAGTCTACGTTGGGTACAAGACGACTCTCACAGTATCCTTACCTCATGCGCAGCTCTTGATGATTGCGCCACAGCGAAGCGTCGGTACTGCGTACCGGCGTACTGCTGCTACCTTACCATACATTGTATCCGCTTTGCACAGAATAAAAATACTACGACTCATGCACTCTAGTTCTCCTTCTTATACTACGTGAGCCTTCCGATGTAGCTTGGAGAAATCTCTGGTTTCTGTCACCAACGATGCTTCACTCCAAGCTCGGTTCTGTCCTTGTTTGAATTTTCCATTATATGTGTACGTATTTATTTATTTATTTATTTATTTATGATTTATTAACACCTCGGAAAATGATTGTCGACAGCGACGCCTGATTAGGCAATTATTAAATCAGCTGAACACCCCTTTACATGTCGTCGGCAGTGCCAGCATATGTTTATTGGATATTCACTTACTAACATGTTGTCTCGGCGAATTGCTCACGTTTTCAGCGAACTCGTTAGAGTTCCTATTCGTGACGACGCATTATCGACTTCATACTTTCCAACAGGTCGGTATTCTGTTCATACATTGATCGGTTGTACCAACAGATCGGTGCCTAGATTTATCGATCACTAATCGACTGTCTGTGCAGGCCCACTTTTTTCTAACTTAATGTGTCAAGACTGCAGCCATGCCTTCTATTTCCGCGTGAATTTCTAGACAATTTTTTTCAGCTAAGTAGGTGGTCTTATTTGTATTCTCTGGTCTTGTTCCGTACCATTCGCGATTTTGACAAGCTGAATGACTTGTGTTCTTTAGTGTCTTCTGTATCAGTACACGCCGTGTGTTGTGAAGTTCAACTGTCGACCAGGGACCAGCCGTTTCTCTTCTTTTCGGGTATTGCCAAACTTTCCCATAGTCCTTATCTACTCTCAAAAGTCAAATACCGACTTATTTACCGATTTTTCTAGGTGTTCGGTTCCATTCGCTGAAAGATGTATCCTATCACCAACTGGACACGCTCCTCTGTTACAGAAAAATACTGGTACCGTTTTTCTTGCTGGTGATCTGAACGCACAATTTGGTTAAATATTGTCCTGTTATGAGCTGCATCTGAGTGGCCAACCATACTGTGGGCTCCCCGAAGGATATCGGTGAGCGCTTGCTACACCTATGTGAAGATGCTCGTCTCTTTCTCGCGGGCACTACTTTTCGACATAGCACTCGCAGAAGAGTGACTTGGCGCCCACCAGCCATGGACACATCACATCATCACACATCACATCGCGATCAGTTACCGCTGGATAGGCTGCGTCTAAACCTGTTTCTTGATTGGAAGCACGAGCGTGGATTCCTATCACGTTCTTATGTGTACCAATCTTCGGTTGCGTCCCGGTGGACGTCCGCAACATCGTTGTGACCGCAAAGACACCAGCCGACTGGCGAAGCCAGGTGTTCTGATTGTGTATCAAACTACACTGGCAGTCGGGCTGATCAAAGGCCCAATGAACACTAAGATCACTGGTTGTATATTCACCAGACGTTACTCTCAGCAGGCATATCTTCATGTGGCAACTGGAATTTCCAACCAAGAAATTGGGTCTCTGCACAGTATTCGGAACTTACGGATGCTCACTGACGTCTTCCGACTGGAAGCGAATACAGTGTGACTGGCACAAACCTCAGGACAGAACTGCGTGCTAGCCTGAAGAGAGACCGCGAAGCGTAGTAGCCCCATCATGCATAGGAAATGGAAACAGCCGCTGCCGTTTGTAACCACAGACTGACTAGCATGCGTGAAACTCATCTACGCGGATAGCAATGCGGATTTCATCAAAATTTGTGCTGCATCGACCATATTCTTACTTTACGTCAATTGTTGGAACGCTGACATATTTATCGGCGACCCATCGTAGTCATGTTTTTCGACATCAAAGGTGCCTTCCATTCGTTGGATCGATCTGCCCTTTGGGACTGTCTGCTGAGGAAAGATGTGCGCTTGATAAATACATAAACATTATCCGAGCGTTGTAAGCGCATAGTTCGGACAGAGTGAAGGTTTACGGCAAACTGTCGCCACTCTTCAGTATCACCAGCGGTGTGAAACAAGGTTGCCTGCTGTCACCTTTCCTATTTAACTTCGCTATTGGTGGAATCATGGGAACAGCGTTTGCTGGACACGACCTAGAAGGTGTGGAGCAACTTCCTGATGTGCGATTTCTTGACTTGGAGTACGCGGACGATATTGCCCTAATCTGGGACTGCTCCCAAACAGCAGCACTGGACCGATTAGCACTGGTTATCAATCGTTTTGTGTCGACGAACAACATGCCTCTTCGTTTGCGAAACACCTGATGGGAAAGGGTCATCAGGTGGACCCCAACACGGCGTTTAATCTCATCTATCGTAACACAAACGCCAGAGTCCTCAAGTTTGCCGAGGCAATGGCCATAAAAAAGCATTCTCCAACATTGTGCGTCCAGAAGCAACTGTTTGTTACGCTCAAACTCCCTTGGAGTTAGTAATTCCTCCTCAACCTGTAGCCAACGTTTACTACGCTTGCATGTGACCTCACGCTTTCGATTTATTGATTTCTTTTTTTATCACGTTATCATTTGATATGTTGTCTGTTTGCAAGTGAACAGAGGGCACAAAATAGTACCATCTTGCAACATTCGTCTTCTTATTGTGCTATTCAACTTTGGGCTTTGATAAAGCAAGACGAAACAACATTTAACAGAATTGACTGATTTCAGCAATTTCGCGTATTCTCATCAGCCGTTTACATACAGTTAGTGGAAAACAGTGCGGTGTTAAGAGCAAAAATTTCAAAGCGGTCGAAGGTCCTTAGGCTCACGTGACCCGTTCCTAGGAAAACGCGATCACTAG